GGCGGCGGGGCCCGCGCTCAGCCCCGCCTGCCCCCCTGCCCGCAGCAACATGCCTTCCAACTGCGAGCGCACCTTCATCGCCATCAAGCCCGACGGCGTCCAGCGGGGGCTGGTGGGAGAGATCATCAAGCGGTTCGAGCAGAAAGGCTTCCGGCTGGTGGGCATGAAGTTCGTGCAGGTAAAGGAACCGCCCCCGCCGCGGCTCTGCCCTCAGCGCTTTCCCCTCGCCCGCTAGAATAGGTACTTCGGTGGGGAGCTCTTCCTGCGCGGCTTTCCCGGCATCAGCCGGGAATCTGACGCCGAGTTGGCACGGCAGCCCCGTCACACAGCAGGCCCAGCCTCGTCCAGCCCAAACCCTTCATCCCCGCCCTTTCCCAAAGAAACAGCGTTTGCTCAAATGGCTTAATGGCAGACTAATTGATTGAGCCGAAATGACCTTGACTGAAAGGTCGTATCAAGTCACATCAGCCAGACATAACACGTTCAGCTTACAGCTGAGGGCTGCCAGAATGCTAAGAAATAATTCTGAGAGCTCCCAACGCTGACACAAAGGCAGTTGGTGCGTTGTGAGCACTGGGAGCTGTCACTGAAACCCACAACAGCATTGCAGGGACTGCCAGTAATATCAGAGTCCAGTCACCGGTGCTGTAGTCTGACACTTGTAACACCTTTTGTGGTATATTGTGCTACTTAATGTTACATCTGCCCTTTTAAAGGCCTCTGAAGACCTTCTCAAACAACATTACATTGACCTGAAAGACCGACCTTTCTTCCCTGGTTTGGTTAAGTACATGAGCTCTGGACCTGTTGTGGCCATGGTGAGTGGCTTGCTTTTCCTTTAAGACTATCTTGAATGTCTTTGTCTCACTCTGTAAATAATTTACAGAAACACTTCTTCAGACCACCCATTTCTGATAGTGGCAAAAGAAATCCAAAATTAAGACAATCAGGAATGAATTAACAAGAAGGAAAGTGTGCACATAGAAAATGCATATTAAAATGCTTAGCATTAATTAAGCAAAATTCCTGAAAGCCAGTCTACTGCATCAAAGAACCTTTTGCTTTTGGCTAAAAAGGTCTGAGGCTTGGTCAAGTATCCCTTTTATTAAGAGTGATTTCTAAGGACTTCTAGTGTATGTACTGGTTTGTTGGGTTTTTTTATCTTGGTCTTTTCATGCCTAAGAAACAATCTGGGCCAGGTTAATTTTTGTGGTGGAAGAGCCCTTGTTTCTTTACAAAGTGTAAGTTACTATCTAAGACTAATCTTTGGTATTTTGTGTAACCATGAATTAATAGGATTTGTTTCTCTTTTTCTCCTTAAGGTATGGGAAGGACTCAACGTGGTTAAAACTGGGAGAGTAATGCTTGGGGAAACAAACCCTGCAGACTCTAAGCCTGGTACTATCCGTGGTGACTTCTGCATTCAAGTAGGAAGGTTTGTGCCCAGCCTTTTTATCAGTAGAGATTAAAAACCTCAGTGTTGGTAGTCTTTTACTCTAAGTCAAAGTTGTTGGTAGATACCCTAGTCTGATGGTATTTTATTTGCAGGTCACAATCCATAACTGCTACCTAAAAAACAGCTTGGTACAAAACTTGACTTTTTTGACACCCAGCTCCTCATCAGAGCTTCATGTAAGATCAGGCAGAGTCAGTGGTGGTTGTAGTCAAGTAGCCCTAGTCCCCCTGCTAGGCTTAATTAGCTCCTACAGTAGGGTATTTGAATACCTCACCTGAAGTAGTCATGCAGCTCTAGATGCTTCATCCAAATTTTTGCAGAGAGAATTACTGTATTGCTGCAAGTGTTTTTATATGAAACAAGGTTTGTCTCTTTCCCCAGGAACATCATCCATGGCAGTGACTCCGTGGAAAGCGCGCAGAAGGAGATCAACCTGTGGTTCAAACCTGCTGAGCTCATCGACTTCAAGTCTTGTGCACATGATTGGATCTATGAATGAAATGAGTTTCCACAAGGATTTGTGCCTTCTAAACATATCATCTCATTCCAGCTATTGACCTGGGAGCAATTATCACCACGGTTATCTTAGTCATTTTTCAGCACTGTTAAATAAACGGATGATATGAAGTAATTGCTTGTG